TTCAGATACACTATAACTCGACAAACAAATAATTAAACTTACTTATATGTACGCACTTCCAGGATATCCCATTCGAGGATTTTTCCTCTCATAACGGCAGAATGTCGAACAATGTTTTTGTGAGTGTCAGACATGTTTTAGAGGAAGAGATAAAGAGCGTATAACAAAAAGAAAATTTGAAAAGTGTAATTTCTTTTTTTAATTGAATATATTTGGTGTTTAATTTAGAACATTTATTATTGGTTTCGTTTAGGTCTTTTTGTAATTTTTTGATATTTTCAACCAATAGTCCTTTCACATAGCGTGTAAATGCTTTTTCACAGTTTTTGTTGAAAAAATGTGTAAGGATTACTCTTCATCGACACCTACTTCTTCGAATTGAGTGCGTGAGAGTGAAAACAGGGCCCCTGAATACGGAGATATCACATTAATCGAACCCCGTTGTACGGATTGAATTTTTAGTACTATTGAGCTTGTACGGATCCAGGTTTTTGTACTAATAAACATATTCAGGGGCCTTGTGAAAACCAGGAAATAAAGTTAGCCCGTATTAGCTATAATTCCAGCCTATAACTTAATTCCAGTCGATCTATCTATTCGCTATGAGTGTTACACAAGATGTGCTTTATAAATCTGCGTGTGATCGAGGACTTGAATTCTCCAGAACCTAAAAATTTTCGAAATGGCCTTTGACGGTCACCATACACGGTCGAATAGTAACGACCAAAAACAATGGTGAGTGTATAAGGAAACCCGTTTAAACCTGAAGCCTGCTTTCTAAAATTACTATTTCTTCGTAATAAATCCTCAGGCGCCAATTCAATTTCTTTGACGTACAGCAAGTCAAGGATGCAAATGAACCTACAAAACCTCCTGCAATTTTTCTTGTAATATTTCTGTTTACGACTCCTTTTATCTTTCCTTTTATGAACCAATTAAATTTATTTCTTATCATATATTTACAGAAACCTGATCTGGCAGTAAGCACCAGTGGCCGTGGCAACATTATCTTAGCTGATATCCTTATTGCATTTTGTTAGCATGTTTTATTATTCAACACTCGAAAGAAATGTTATGCTTGACATTAAGTTCAATGTGCGCGTATAAACACACATAATCTCATAATTATTACATTCATCTGGCTATGTGCACATTGTTGACAGGTCATTTAATGTTCAATCATTTTTGGCATATGAAGGAGGGCGAGTGTCACATATGAAACAAATGAAACAAAAAAATATTCTGTCGACAATTGGTGTATGCTTTTAGATTTCTTTTTATTTAAAATCTTGATCTGAAAAATTTATTATTACTATATAATCACTAATGATTAATACAATAGGAAGAGGATCCACCGGTTATTAAATTATGGGACCTTGATAAGCAGGATAAATCCAAGGGAACTCCTACGTGTCAGCGTACAATTAAAGTAAACCATGGTGGAAAGCCGTTTCCTGTTTCGGCGCTAGCTGTTTTGGAAAATTTGGGTCAGATTGCAGTAGGCTTAGCTAATGGTGTGGTTGTATTAATCAGAGGTGATTTATATAGAGATAGATATACAAGACAAAGAATTATTCATGAAAGCGACGAACCGGTTACAGGTAGTTTCATCTAACTTTCATTTTTATGTCTCAAGCCATAACTATAAAATCAAAAAACCTATCAATACACATTTTATACAAGGTCTCGGATTTAGGGAACACAATAAAACTGTTATCTTATTTATTGTCACTACTAGTAAAGTTTTGACTTACGTAACGAGTAGTAGGTCATCATCCGCTGTAAGTTGAATATTGATATAAATTGGTACAAAACAGCATTTAATATTATTCTAACCTTATAATTGCAATATTTAGACTGTCCTCGACGACGAGCAGGGTGCCGGCTTAGGCTGCGCAGTAATGAGCGATACAACGCATGAAATGGTTGTCGCTAAGGATGAGGTTGGATAAATGTATTGAATATGCATGATCTCCTCAATATATTCATATTGATTCTATTCAATAGTTAATTTACAAGTTGATTTTTGTCTGTAGGCAATTTATTTTTATGAACCTGAAGGACGAGGCCCCTGTTTTGCTTATGAAGGTATCATAAATAGCGATGTCTTTTACATTCATAAAATATACCCTACATCATAAGTATAATGTGATATTTTTCTATTAGGTACCAAGTCATCTGTGACTTGGTTCAAGTCAAACCTCATTATTGTATCACCGCCAATTTCTCAACCAACAAGGCTTACAACATCAACACGCTCAGCACTGTCAATTGGCGCTGGAAGTACAGCCAAACAATCTGCTCCTTATGAACTCACAAAAGTTACTATTTTTGACACTGCGAACAAATTTATTTCTTATATTGGAACTTTCTCTCATGGAGTTCGGATGATCATTTGTGAATGGGGTGGTATATATATTCTTGGAATGGAAGGAAAGGTTTGTTTAATTTATTTATTGTGTTTGTTATAAAATTGAAATCATGCAATGCTGGAAATGTACAAATATTTTATTCATAATTTATTTTAAAAAGTTATATCGCCTTGAAGAAAAAGACACACCGACAAAACTCGAAATTTTGTTCAAAAGAAATTTATATTTATTGGCAATTAATCTTGCGCATAGTCAAAAATACGATGACGCAGGTATATCTGACATATTTAAGAGATACGGTGATCATTTATACAGGTAATTATAATAATTTATAATGTATGCGACATTAACTGTCATTATGCAATGACATTATCCTAAATTTGACATAATTTTTAGTAAAGCGGATTATGATAGTGCAATGGCACAATACATTCTAACTATTGGTCAGCTAGAACCATCTTATATTATTCGAAAGGTTTGTAATGACGAAAATAAATTAGTGAGAGAGAATGATTATATGGGTTATAAACTAATATACAAATTATAAATTGAATAGTTTTTGGATGCTCAACGTATACATAACCTTGTTAATTATCTCCAAGAGCTCCATTCCAAAAATCTTGCTAATGCGGATCATACTACTCTGCTGCTAAATTGTTATACAAAACTAAAAGACGTGGCACGGCTCGATCAATTTATTAAGGTGCATATTATAGTTGTTTTATAACTTTTTTTTTATTACTAACACATTCTGTATATTGATTTTGTAGACTGATAATGAACTCAACTTTGATATAGAGACAGCTATTAAAGTGTGTCGACAAGCCGGATATTATGAGCACGCTGTATATTTAGCAAATAAATTTGGTGAACATGAATCGTAAGTATTCTTCGTATCACATTTATTATGGATAAAAATAATAATATTTATAATTACTTAACCTTTATAGATACTTAAAAATTCAGATTGAAGACGTTAAAGATTATGAAAATGCTTTAGAATACATTCGCAAGTTAGGATCAATTGAGGTTAATTATATTCTTTTTTGGAGGGTTTCGCTTTGTTTTTTTATGTCTATCGTTCTAAGACATTATTATTACTCTAATAATAGGCCAATCGTAATTTGCAAAAATATGGAAAAATTCTCGAATGGGATATCCTGGAAGTGCGTACATATAAGTAAGTTTAATTATTTGTTTGTCGAGTTATAGTGTATCTGAA